ACCCCCCTACATGTATGAAAGCTAAGCACAAAATAAGCGAATGTAATTAAAGTTGGTACGAGAAGGCCCCGTCTAGGAAGGGCGGCCATACACACTAGATATTAAATCAGTCCACTATGCTTTCCAGAATAAAAGGCAAGATATCCAAAAATACCAGTCCTCCCTCCTCTGAAGTCCATGCTTGCACCTGACCTTGGCAAAAGTGTGGAGTCCTTAGGCAAGCTTTGGCCTTAGTCTCTGAACTCACCACAGGGACTCTACAAAGCACAGCTGAAGCTGAGCGGTGGTGGCGCATGCCTTTAATTTCAGCACTCAAGAGGCAGAGGCAGGGGAATCTCTGTGAGTTTGAGGCCAGGCTGGTCTACAAGAGCTAGTTCCAGGACAGGCTCCAAATCCACAGAGAAACCCTGTCTGGAAAAAACCAAAACAAATTTTTTTAAAAAGCCATAGCTGAAATGAGAAAGGGCCGAGAACGAATGTTAAATGACCATGACACCCATCTTGTGGCTCAGCAGATCCTACAAGGAGTGGGAAGAAGTAAGAAGCCCTGACGAATGGTCGGCTCTTCAATGGTACCATGACAATGAGAGGAGTCCTTGGACAACTGCTTGGTCAGACAAGAATAGTTCACCTTGGGTGTAAAATAAGGAGCTAACTCAACTAGTCTGTGTTTGGGGAGCTAGTTCTTTGTTTTGTTACAACTTGGGGAGTTCCTACATCCCCCCCATTCGGTGTCCCGCCATGTCAGCATCCTACATTACTATGACACATCTGTCACAACTAAGGCATCAATATGAGCACACTACTGTAACTGGTGTTCATTTACTTTCTCTGTCTGATGTCCCTTTCTGCTGCAGGGTCACCATGTGCCCCCAGCCTGCTCGGTTTGTACAGGTTTCTCAGAGATCCCTTGTTTCTGATGACCTCAGCAGCTGTAAGGAGTGCCAACTCAGTGTTCTGGAGACCATCCTGGTGGAGAACAGAGCCGATGGCTGAGTTTTCCCTGGGCTTAAAACAGCTTACCGGTTTCGGCAGGAAGACCGCCTTTTGACTTGGAATTTAGACATCCCCTACACCCGCAAAGACCCACATGCTGAAGGGTTAGCCACTAGCTTGAGGCTGGGAGATAGTGGACGTGGGGCCCACTAGAAGGAAGTTCGGCAACTGGCAGGGGTGTGGGGGAGCACCACCTTGGTCTCTTCTCTCTCCGCCCACTCTGCTGCCCTACTGTCGTGAGGTAAGCGGCCTCCGCTAACACCTATTCCTGCCACACGTGTGCATGAGCTACCACTTCCCTAAAGTAATAGGGCCAAGGGACTGTGAACAGAAACTGCGAGCCAAAACCATCTTTTACACCTTTATCCACTTGAGGCTTTGTCACAGAGGCAGGAGAGGAGACTGGACGCACAACATGTCAGGCGTGCCTGCTATTTCCGCCACGGAAGAGGAGCTCAAAAATGGACTTTTATTTTATTTATATGGGTTTATGGCTGCATGTATATCTGTGCAACGTATGTGCTCAGTGCCCCGAGGCCAGAGAGCTGCTGGGAAGTGAACCTGAGTCCTCTGGTCTTACTGCTGAGCCATCTCTCAGGCCCTAGATGAGGAGCTCTGATTGACAGGTAGCATTTGTCAGGTTTTCGCACTATAAACATCCTTTAGGGCCACTCTCTATAGCCCACCATTGCAAGAAGTTCTTACGAAGAACTATTCCCACCAATGACATGGATTTTTCTCTATGAGAAATTTAGCTCATTTATTTCTATCAATCCAAGATCACAGACATGTGTTTTATATTTTGTTTACAATGCAATTAACACCACTTAGTCCACTGTTCCAAGTGTCCCAGCTCATTCACAGAAGCAATTTTAGGATGGTACCAGTGTCCTGAAACACATCCATTTTTTTTGCATTTTCAACACACCCATACTTTCTGCTTCTCCAGAATGTTAAGGGTTGAACTATACCTTCCTAAAATTCCTGTTTGCAGAAGTCTGAGGCTCTGGTATCTCAGAAATTAACTGTATTTCAAATTTGTTAAAGTCACACTAGAATAAGGTGGGCTCTTAATCAAAAATGCTTAGTCCTTCCTAATAAGGACAGATTTGAGGAAATCATGTAAAGTATAAGACAAAGATGGGGTTGACGCTCCTGCAAGTCACAAAATGTCATAGCGAGTCAGGAAGCCACCAGAACCAGGGCAAAGGCCAGCAGATCTTCCTCCACAACTCCAGAAGAACCCAGTTCTGCTAAAGGCTAGTCAGGATGCCACCAGAACCAGGGCAAAGGCCAGCAGAAAGGTCGACAGATCTTCCCCCACAGCTCCAGAAAAACCCAGCCCTGCTAACGGCTAGTCCGGAAGCCACCAGAACCAGGGCAAAGGCCAGCAGATCTTCCCCAACAGCTCCAGAAGATCCCAGCCCTGCTAACACCTTAGACGCCTGCAACCAGGTCTGTGAGGCAGTCCATTTACGCTGTCTGACTCACTCAGCTGTGGTTCTTTGTCGTGGTGGCCTACGTAAGCTAATACAAAGGCTAACATCACCGAGCTCTCTGCGTTTCCGTTAAAAACGGTATTTAGAAATAAGAAAAAAAGCGGTGTAGAACATTCTAACAAAATCTTGGAAAGCAGGTGCAAGCCGACATAATGCAATGTTTAGCATTACATTTGGGTGTGAACAAGGTTGGGGGCAGTGTTTTCCGATGCCTTGATTTCCTCACAGAGCTTCCCACCACCTGCAGCATAGGCCATTGCTGCTGCCAAGCACACCTGCGTGCCAGAGCAATATCAACCTTCTTGTATAATCACCATCTTCTTAGCATGCCACGTACTGGCTCCAGGGAAGCCAAACACTTCTCAGGCGCCCTTCAGAGTGACTCCACACGGGGCAGAAAATGATCCCATGAGTCTCACAGTGGACCTGGCCGGATCAGGTGAATTCAGCATTGTGGTATCTGTTTATGACTGGCGGTCCCACCCCATCTTCCCAAAGTCACATCAACAAGCAGCCTGGTGCACAGAAATTCCTTGCCAGTTATCAGGCATGGAGCAGCCTCAGTATGATTTCACACACTCCAGGCTCCTCCAGCAAACTCATTCAAGGGCATGGGGAGAGCAAGGTGCTCTCTGAAGTCAAAACATAGAAGAGACAGGCGGGAATCTCACCTGTCACCTCATTCCGCATCCAGTGACCTCGATGGACTTGAAATCTCAGCCCATGCATGGGTAACTAACGGAAAGTAACTGTGCCCTCTATCCTCAGTTAACTGGGAGAAATGGAAATTATTTTTACTATAAAAACTCTGGTTCATCTGCATTTTTATGCCCCTATTAAAACTCAAGTGAAAACATTAGGCTATGCCCAGATCACGATCCCTCTGGCTTGAGTACATTCTACTTGCAAGCCCCAGAACTCTGTTATGATCCTTCATATTATTAAATAATTGCAGGGCGTCCCTTGGGGTCACATTTGGCAACAAGACACTGGCCTAAATGAACAAATGAAATGACCCAGTGAATAACACATTTTTAACCTGCTAGAAGCAAGCGAGTGTGACATAATACTTCTTGGGTAGAATCTAGAGAAACAAGTGGAGTGGGAATCAGAAACTGTGAACATGGAAAATATTTCAATATTTAGTGCTAGGCTCCCCACCAACCCCAAAGAGGAGCAATTCTCTACTCCAATCCCAGTTTACATTTAGGGGTGGTTACAACCACAAGCAGAAAGCCAAGCATATGGCTCTGTCCTTCTGGACATTTCTACAGTGTAAGATAGGATGTTCTGGAAAATCCCATTGTTTTTTCCTCCTACGGCTATATGACCTCAAGTTGTCATTTCAAATAAAGGATGCTTCCACTGATTTTATGAACACAGACAAAAGCTGCTACAACCTTGGTGTCCACCCCCCGCCCCGGCCCAGCCCCTAAAAAATACCCCTGTGAACCAACTGTAGTTGCTATGGAGGGTTATTTGTTTCTAAGGCAACAGCATATATCTAAGTACTAATGGCCTGTCCTTTTGCCAGGCAACAAACAATCTTGTGATGCAAGTGCACCTGTCTCGGCTATGCGTTACTATGGAGACACTCCAGTTGCTATGGTTACCATCACGCTAATCGCCTAGCAAAGGCAGACATACAGCAGTCTTCTCATAGAGCCCAGCTGCTTCTCCCGTCTCTTGCCGGAGACTGATTGTCTAGGGCCTGTGCTGGAATGCACAAGAACTTCATTAATGCCACGTCAGAGGCTCACTTTGTGTGCCCTCCTGCAGAACAAACATCAGAACAGAAAAATCTGCAAGTGGACTGTAAAATTCTCCAGGCTTCTGACATCAGGCCATTCCCAATTAACATAATGGCTACTCCAGGGGCGATTTCTTTTAACTGGATAGTTACAAAAGAAACGTTGCTGCATGTCTTTTAGAATTTCTTGGTAGGAGGACTGGAAAGAGGGATCAACGATTAAGAGCGTGGCTGCTCTTCCAGAGGACCCAAGTTCAATTCCCAGCACTGACACGGTGGCTCAAACCATCTCTAACTCCAGTTCCAGAGGATGCAGTGTCCGCCTCCAGACTCCAGACAGCAAGCACACAAATGCTACACAGATATAAACACAGACACATGAATAAACAAAACAAATTTCAACAACTTTCTTGGTAGGATTGATGACAAATCCAAGCACCATGAATAGCTAAGACGCCACACTTTGAAATCTGGTTCTTTGTTCTGTATGGCCCTTTCTTCTAATCTCATATGAACGTGCTTCTTCAAACCGTGACAATTTACTTAACCAGCCCCCATTACATATTTGTAAAAACGCACTCGTGACCTCAATCCCATGGCAAACAGACACATGAGGAGGAAAAGTGGCCACTGCTCTCAAGGCAAACACTTAGTAACCACAACAAACCCATCACTCAGGAGCCTGTCTACATGGAAACGGGATGACAACAAGCGAGTGGGCCTTCTCTCTCAACATCTGCACAGTCAGGCTATGGAAAGGTGGGATCACCTGTATGCCTTGCCGCTTGTACCCCAACAAAATGTGACACACAGAAACATGGAAGCTGTCAACGTTCCTCTGTAAATGCCTACCGAGGAAGACATTATTCTACCTACCGGGAAGCCTGAAGACACACTCCCTGGAGCAGAGACATGGTAAGGTTTGAAGGAAATACATCAATGGATGTACCTCCTAATCATACTTAAATTTTTTTCTCATTTATTGCAGTTATTTTTAAAAATCTCACACAGCCTACTAAATTAGTTTTAGAGCCTGACTCTTCTAGACTAACACAATTCCAGGAGACTTAAAAAAAAAAAAATCAGATAGTCCAATTTACTTACCTTTGATAAGCCTGAGGGGTGGGAGGTGGGTGGTAGGGTGTCTTTTTCAAAGCCTGAATTAGGTTTTGTCTATACTCTGGGTCTATGCACCACAATGACCCTTTCCCAATACTCTGCAAAGAAAAATTAAAATAAAAACATATTAATACAATATGATTAATTATATCAACACAGCACAGGGTATTTTGCAGTAGGCAAATACATAGCTATACTATAGTTACTCTTAAAAGCCTCCTGTTATTTGTTAACAATTTCCCAGGCATAAATGTTGTCCTCTGACAACAGGAGACCATAAAGGGCTCGTACCTTCTTCTCACCGAGCTGGACAAACCAGAGGAACATGTTGCTACCAGACCGTGCTGATACAATAGCTCAATGTGCACATCTGAGCTACCCAAATACAAGAATCCCTTATTTTTCAGTATGAATTTGGAAGAAAATACATATTCTCTTCCAAATTCTATAATTTGGCTGGCATTCACGTTAAGAGCACTGAGACAACCTCCACGCTTCATTTCTGCTCTTAAGCTCCCAGCTGTTCTCAACCACAGTGTACTGGCACGATCTTACAAGAACAGAAAAGTAAGCCACTCAGTGTTTTTGCCCCCCCTCAAACTTGCACACAAAAGAACATTTATGCTTGCAATGGAATTTATAATTTCCTTCCCCCAAGAAACAAAAGACTTCAGACAACAAAAGCAAACCTAATCCAGAATCCAATGCATTTTTATATTTTTATTGGGGGGTGGCATCAGGGGAGGGGACACAGGTCTAAGGGACAACCGGGGACACTTCCATTCACAGCAATCCGCTCCAGTCTCTAGGAATCTTTAGGAGAGGTCACACTTTAAAAAGTGTAAATTGGCTAAAGCTGTTCCCTGTGGGGGAAAGGAAGCTTCCGCCCCGAAGGCCACTTTTGGGCAGGCTGGAGGCAACTGGTTAAAGATCAGCATTTTGCTTTAAAAGTGGATGGGGGGGGGGCACTTAAGTGGTACCTGGAACAGCACTTTCACTACCCCGCTTCCAAGTGGGCCAGGGTACCCAAACCATTTGATGAGGTCACTTCTAAATATTTGCTGATTTGCAAAGAAAAGAAGCTAAAAGAGCCACCCAACCCTGTCCCTTAGAGTTTCCCTCACTGCTCTCCTCCAGGAAGCCTGGCGGTGTCTTCCAAAGTTTAGAAAAACAAACGAGAAAACCTTGTAACTAACACAGGAACTAACACAAGAACCAAAAGACCACTAAAGCTAAGCCAGTCCAAAAATCTTTGAGAATTTTATTTATTTATTTATTTTTAGTTCTGTATTTCAGTTATCACTTCACCAAATAGCTCTCACAAGCCTTATGCATTCACGGCGAGTGTTAAAATAATCCTCAAGCCTCAGGAACATCAGAGCAACTAGAATGAACTCTTCCTGGTGTACTGGGGACAGGAGAGGACTACAAAGGCCACAGCCCAGTCGCCGGGGCCCAGAACATTTATGCTAAAGACATACACGCAGGGCTTAATCATCTGGGCAAGTAAAGACCTGAAAGTCATCAACTTTCCCCCAGCCTTTCTTTCCATGCTCACATTTTTAAGTGTGGTAGAGTTTGAAGGGCTTGACCCAGCCTTTCCAAGCAGAACGGGTCCTTGATCCTCCATCTCTTCCTATGGAAAAAGCTGGCTGGTGTACTTTAAAGAAAGGTGAGGTGTGGAGAGGGCTGGGAAGACAATGAGTTACCAAACTACACTGACATAAAAGAAGCCACCAAAGCAAGTTAGCTCTTCCCACGGTGGGAGGACTGGCCTAACCCTCTTCATCAAAGGCTCCCAGTTGAGCCCTTGGCCAGGGGACCAGCACAGGTGTGGGGAAGGCCATAGTCAACACACAATAGAAGAAACACTTCTGCAAGGAGACAGTCCCAGCAGCAGGAGCCTAAGGGCCTCTGTTCTCACCAAGATGGCTTTCAAGGCAGGGACAGTTTAATCTTTCACCTGAAAAAAACCCTCAACAAAGAGCAACCAGCCTTCTGGGGTAAGCAAGCATACGCCAAGAATGTGGTTCTCCCAACCCCAACTCAAGTATCCTGTTTATGAGGCGGTGATGCTATTTAAAGACGAGATGGAATAAACCCCAGATCTGTGCCGAACAATCCCCCAGTAAGTGATCCAGCTCCTGCGAGGAAGGCTGGAAAGTGAGACTGGGCAGTCTGCAGCCACATAACCATGGCCTGTGTGGCCATGGACAAGCATGGTGTCTGGTGAGAGACGGGCAAACGCCGGGATGGTACGAGATCAAACCCTAACCCAGAGGCATGCCTGCGGGTACCCGAGAAAGAAGTGACGGGTTAAGGGACTGAAGAGATCATAACAGAAAAAACATGCCTGACTAGACATGTCTCACTACCTTAAATTTGTTAGCCCAACGTTGGTATGGGAGGAGTTTTTGAAAATTTAAAGTCTTCACATAACTTGGTTGAACAGCATGTTGGTAAGAGTCTTAGTATTCTAACAAAAGTTCACCACTCTATCTATCTGCCTCCCAGGCACCCTATACACCAAGCTCTGACCACTGTAACTTCTTTATTCAGGAAGCCAACACCACTGACAACCAGCTTCTAGAACTTTCCTTTTGCGAAAAGAATCATGATCATCAAAGTGATGCTTCCAAATTTAGTCAGTACATATACTATTACTCATTACCAATCTCAGGCTTTGGTTCCTAAGAAATCGTAAGGATCCTCTGGACTCTGCTGAGGTCTGGGACAGCCAGCACGTTACAGGTTAGGAGATTTTGTCATTGGTTTTCTGACCAAACAGGCACTGACTGAGGAGTAGTGACACACCAAAAGGCAGTGCGTCTTACACGGAGAACTGCAGGCATTCAAAAGAGGAAGAGCTCGATGCACTGCTGCTTGGGTATGCACCCTGTCAAAGCCTCTAATGGCTTTAGGGTAAAAGCAAAGGCCTTGGGGTTCAGGGCAGTGGGAAAGGACAGCACACCTCATTTCCACGCCTCCTCTTTGGTTTCATGTGATGATTCAAGTGCTTTAGCCAAAAACTTCTGAAACGGAAATGCACAGGGGATAGATAGAGCGCTCAAGTTTCAAAGGCCAGGAAAAATTATACCGAATGCCTCATGCAGAAGGGGGTGTGATTTGATTATATTGCGTAATAAGAGTCAGCGCATTTATGGAAATCTCTGCATGTCATCTGAAGACAAGAATGCAGAGCTTCCTAATGGGAATAACTGTGAGGGTCATGTACCATGAAATGTTCAGGAATTCAAAACAATAAGACACGTCACATATATATATATACGTCATTATATATACATGTGCATATATATTATGTGATTGTATGTCTTTCTCTGTGTGTATATGTGTGTATGTGTATATATGTGTGTGTGTGTATATATATATATATATGCCATCTCCCATACGCACACATACACAAACACACCCATACACATCATACCCACTCCAGAGAAAACTAACATACAAACAATAGGGGATAAGATAAAGTTTTTATATCTTTTTAATTAAAAGTATCTGAGGAGTCACTGATAACTCAATGGACAACAATAAAAAAGTCAACATACAAAAGAAGCAAAAATATTTTGGGGGGGAACAAAATGAAATTTACCAGGAAAAGGTCCGTTCTCCACCAGACTTGTGGAGAAGTACGGATGGAGAGACCTTCTCTGCAAGCTCATCACCACCCCTCATCCCACAGCTCCGTAAAATGCACTTGGCAGTCAGCCTGAGATCCATCTTTTCAGGTTCAAATTCCTTTGCTAGAAAGACAATTCCTGAGGAACGGCATAATATGAGAGAGAGAGAGAGAGAGAGAGAGAGAGAGAGAGAGAGAGAGAGAATGAGAGCGAGCGCATATGTAAAGACACATGCACTGTGAAAAGAGGACAGAAAGGGACAAGGATGCGAAGCTTCTGCTTGGTCACTCTGCCTCTTTGGGCTAAGACAGAGCGTCAAGATTAGCAATTGGTCAGCAAGCCCCAGGGGCCCACCTTCCTCCAATCCCGCAGAGCCAGGCTCACTGGTGGGCACAGGCACAAGCATCCTTCCGTGCAGGCTGGGGACATGCCCTTGGGTCTCCATACTCTGACCAGCAGGGCCATCTCCCTAGCACCAGAGCACAACGTTTTAAAGTTTGTTTTCTCAGACTGTAATCAACGATGCATTAACAGGTCATGAAACCAATGTAATGGGTCATAACTAGGATTGTTTTAAAGAAATAGAATATAAATCAAACAGAAGAGTAGAAATATCTGTAGTCACATGTTGTGAGATATTTGTGTGTACGTATATGTTCAATGCATATGTGTATTACGTCACAAGGTGATACATAGGTCTAGCTGGGAGCTGGCCAACAGCGGTCAGCAAACATGGGTCTAAGACAGCAGTAGCAGGGAATTTTCCGTCCTTTTCATCCCTTTCCAGGGTTAAGGCCTCTCCTAGCAGTAGTAACAGATATACTTAATGTGGTATCGGAGCTGAGCTTGGACAGTGTGGTCAGAGACCCTGCTTTTAAAATGTCAGGGAACTGAGCGTGTGCTCTCAGTGACCTTGAATGTTTTTGAGGTCTTTCACGTGCCATTTTTGGGGATGTTTCCAACATTACCCAACCTCACTAACAACTGATCAACATTCATTTGTTTGTTCGTCCACTCCTTCCTTCCTCCCTTCCTTCTCTTCTTCCCTCCCTCTCCCTTCCTATTTAGCCAATTTCAGTCACCATAGAGGAGATATAAGGAAAAAAAGGAACACAAAAAGGTGGCTGCCACCATGCAGCTTCTATTCCGGAGAGGAAAAAGATGAGCGTGTAAAAATGAACATCCTAGATGGGAAGGACAAAAGTGAGGCGACAACTGCTGTGCAAGGGATGCGTGGATTGGAGGGAAGTGTGGACCAGATCCAGTATCCACAATGAGGATCACAGGCACTGTGTCATGGAAGGGCAGAGGAGGAGGAGCAGGGGGAGGAGCATGGGGAGGAGGAGCAAGGGGAGGAGCAGGGGAAAGAAGAGAAGGGGAGAAACGGGGGGGGGGCAGGGGGAGAAGCAGGGGGAGGAGGGGGAGCAAGAAGCTCGGGAGAAGGAGGAAGGGGAGCA